CTGAGGTTATTGATACTTCTCCCGGGAATCTTGATTCCAGCTTGTGTGTCCTCCAGCCCAGCATTTCTCATGATGTACTCTGCATATATTCTGACTTAAGAGTGCCAAAATCACAGCTTGCTGTGTGAGAGTTACATAATTTCTCTGTTCATGTCAGCTTTGTGGTGTGTAGAACATGGAAGTATTAATCTTTGCTTGGGGTAAAGTAGCACGGGATCTGAGGTCAACCTTGCCAGGGTGGAGTAGAAGCAAGCATGGCAGCATCATAGATGGGGGAGATACAGGGACCCCAAGATTCTGCAAGAGTGGAGACCTAATCCAATCCAGGACTTTGGACCAAGCTCTGACAGTGCAGGGTCTTCCCTCCAGTCCTCAGTTATCAGTTGGACCTCAACAGCCAAGAGTCATCATGAAACTGGTCTCATCACAATTGTATTTAGACAATTCATATCTCAACTCTCTGCAGTTGTCCATGATATGAGACCTGTGGAGGACTTCTCGTGTTTGTTCTATCCGTTTAACCATGTTTTAAGAGCTGACTATATAGCAGACACCATGATTGTGGTACCCAAATGAGTGACTCCCAAGCCCTACCCTTCTTGGACTAAAGGTGTAACAAGAGACTTATCTGCAAACAAGCAGTCAGAGCCTGTGCCCCAGTGGGGTGTCCACAGGCACTTTGAGAGTTTATACAGGGCAGGACTAACTCTTGAGGGGATGAAAGTGAAAGTGAAGTTGTGTCCAACTCTTTGCTACCCCATGGACTGTAGCCTACCAGGCTTCTCCATCTATTAGATTTTCCAGGCAAGAATACTGGAGTGGGTTGCGATTTCCTTCTCCAGGAGATCTTCCTGACCCAAGGATTGAACCTGGGTCTCCCACATTGTAGGCAGACGCTTTACCGGGGATGACGTGAAAGGCAGCTCCTTCAGAGGGCTGGGAAGATCCCCTGGAGAAGGGAATGGCTACCCACTCCAGTATTCTGGCCTGGACAGTTCCGTGGACCGTATAGTCCATGGGGTCACCATGCATCAGACATGACTGAGCGACTTTCACTTTCCAAGGCTGAGGCAATGACAATGTGGTTTGTAGCCACAGCTCTGCATTTGCACCAGCTCTGCCCTGTTGGGTGACTCACAGCCAGTTTCCTCATCTCTGATGTGAGAGGACAGCACTCACCTTTGCCACCTCTGGAGGTGGAAGTGAAGCAACAAGCATTTTGCTTCACTGTTAAGACTGCTCTTGAGGATACACACCTGTCAGGAGGCTCTTCTTGGGCCCCAGCAGCAGCGTGTGCCTGCAGGACGGTGGATCTGCCTGGGCTCAGGGTTCGGTGTGTGGCTGTGAACTTCACGTTTGTCCTCATTAGAGCAGCATGACTAAGTCTATGGCCCTGGCGTTCTTTTCTGACAGTAAGCTTTGTCCTTAGAGTCTGATTGGGTAAATCCCCCCTCTCTCTCTTACTAATCCTGTGCGCTTTCAGGGGTTACTAAACCGAATGAGCCCCGGGTTTCTCATCTGTATAATAGAGATGATGGTAATAATTCATACATTGTAGGATGGTTGTGAAGATCAAAGGACAGAATGTGTGCAAAATACCAGGCTTTAATATTTAATATTTGTGACTCTGATATTCACCATTGTGGGGACTAGGGGAATAACCAGAAGAGAGTCCCAGAGGACCAGGATAAGCCTCCTGCTCGGCCACTGTCATGGTTGTTGCTGCCACGGTGGACGCCACTGCTATGCCCATAGCACCCTGGATGGGTGAGAAAGGCTGAGCCATCTATTTTCCTATTTGTAGATAGTGCAGGTGGCCAAGACTGTGTGAATTCCTTATCACTATCATGTATTCAAAAATTCTAGAATGTAACTCAAGCTTTCAAAAGGAAGGAAATGCTATCTCAAGAATGAACTTTGAGGGTGTTGTGTTGTATGTGTGTGCATGTTCAGTGGTGTCCAACTCTTTGCGACACCATGGACTGTAGACAGCCTGGCTCCTCTGTCCATGGGATTTTCTAGACAAGAATATTGTAGTGGGTTGCCATTTCCTCATCCAGGGGAGCTTCCTGACCCAGGGGAGCTTCCTGACCCAGGGGTCAAACCTGCATCTCCTGCATTGGAGGCAGATTTTTCTACTGCTGCGCCATCAGGGAAGTCCCGTTGAGGGTATTCTAAGTGAAATAAGCCAGTCACCAAAAGACAAATGCTGTGTGATCATCCCACTTATATGAGGTACCCAGGGTAGTTAAACTCCTAGACCCAGAAAGAAAAGAGGTGGCTGCCACGGGCTGGGGGGAGGGGATAGAGGAGAGGGGAGAAGGGGAATTGTTTAATGAGTATGAGTTTCAGTTCTGCCGGATAAAATGAGTTCTGGAGATTGGTTGCGTAATAGTGTGAATATGCTTCATGCTTCCAAACTGCATACCTACAAATAGCGAAGACAGTAAATTTTGTTATGTGTATTTTACCGCAATCTCATGAGAGCTTATCGAGCACATTACGTGCCAAGCGTACAGCATTCCTGGCCCAAGGGGAAAGTGGAAGTGAAAGTTGCTCAGTCGTGTCCTGGGCCAAGGGGAAACAACGTGATAAAAACAAACGTGGCCCCTGTCTTCCTTTATGGAACTTACAGGCTGGTAGGGGAGACCTGCCACAGGAAGAATGACATTAATGGGCAAAAGTGCAGCTGGAACAGGTGCTCCATTGAGACGTTCACGGTCCCTTGAGAACCTAGAGTGCAGGGACTTGACCACAACAGAGAAGTCAGGCCAAGAGCAAAGATGAGCGAGATGAAGGAAGACCATCCTAGGAATGTGCAAAGCATGAACCAAGGCTGCCTCAAGGAGGCCAGTGTGGCCGGAGCACAGAGGGTGGAGAAAATGTGCTGGGAACAGAGGCTGGGGAACATGCAGGGGCCAGACCCCACAGCCTCGCTGGCCACAGTGAGGAGTTTGGTCTTCCTTCCTGAGCCACAGGGACCCCACTGAGGGTCTTGAGCCGAGGATGGGGAGACAGAAAAGCAGGTCTGTGCTTTGAAAAGATCAATCCAAAGGAACATTTTTTTTTTCCTTAGAAGGAAAGATCTTATCAAATACTCAGTTGTAGTCATCCACATGGAAATAGTGAACGAATCCCCTAGATATTTCTCCAGGGTCTGATATTTAGAAGACCCTGACAAGAATACAGATGAAGACCTACATCCCATAAGTCTAAATAATTATAGGCTGTAATCAAGCCGCTGCCACTGCTGTTAAGTTGCATCAGCCATGTCCAACTCTGTGTGACCCCGTAGACGGCAGCCCACCAGGCTCCGCCATCCCTGGGATTCTCCAGGCAAGAACACTGGAGTGGGTTGCCATTTCCTTCTCCAGTGCTTGAAAGTGAAAAGTGAAAGGGAAGTCCCTCAGTCGTGTCCAACTCTTAGCGACCTCATGGACTGCAGCCTACCAGGCTCCTCCGTCCAGGGGATTTTCCAGGCAAGAGTACTGGAGTGGGTTGCCAGTGCCTTCTCTGGAGTAATCAAGCTAAGAAACCATTATTAATATGTTGAATCTTCTTACCATGACAAACATATCTTTATAACTCAAATGTCAAAAAAGATACGAATACCTGTGGTTTTTAATGGGACTAATAGTCAACAAAGTGTCAAAGATGATTGAATTTAACTGTAACTACACTGTCTGGAATTTCTGTTGGGTCAATGAAATGTGAATGAGTAATAAAATATTTTATAATTAGTCATTTTCTATTTTATAATTTTTGGCTTTTATAGTAAAATAATTAACTATATTATTTTAATTAAGATTTTCATATAACTCATGTTATTTTACTAGAAATGCTGAACTAAATGACTTTTTGTAACAGGTATATTGAATATATATTGTATATATTACAATTCATCCATTTGAAATATCCAACTTTTCTTGAGTCATTTTAGTTCTCAGATCATTTTTCATTAATTACAATTTGAAGAAACTTTGCCCTATTGAGGTCATATCAACCTGAATTGTTAAAAAATACCTTCTTTAAAGCAATATTTGAATTTGAAAATGAACCATAAATACATTATGTTCCAAACATGGTGATAAGATCTCTTAGATAAATTATCACAAAAACTGTTAGAAAGTATTTTAATTCCACCACTCAAGTCTATCACTTATATTGCAACTTTTTCTGTCTGTCCAAGCAATATCTCAGTCTAATGTAAAGCCCCAGCATCATGTTTCATACAGGTTGTCTGGGCATCTATACATATTTAATGGCAATAGGAATGGTTTGATGTTGTAAAATGCTCCTTGGTTGCCATGTACAAGTGTCATGAGTTTGGAGGGCCTCCTGAAGAGCAGATTGGAATATGAGGAGTGGGAGGAATATAGACATTTGCTACAACTGGGGAAGGTGCTTTATTGTTCAAGGATCCATTGTACTCATGTGTCTGAAAGAAAGGAATTGGCAAGTCAGCCTTTTCTCCTATCCAGGGGTTTCTGCTCCTCAGACCCTCCCTGACCTCTGAGGCAGTAACCCCAGCCCTGCTATAGCTGGGATTAGCAGTAGGAAAGCCCTTAAATGTTTAGGGCTTTCAGGCACAGTAGCCAATTGTTTCAAGGTCTTAGGGCTAGGGATGTTGGGGAGCAATTCCCTGGGGCCTAAACAGTGTTAGTCATGAGAGCTGATGCTTAAGATTACTCCAAGTGACATGGACACGTATGTGTCCTTAATAAATTGTGTGTGATTGCTTCTCAGCCTTTTGGCTAAGATCAGGTGTAATAAATTGTGTGTGTGTGATATTTGCAGCCCTCTAAAGCACAGGCCCTGGGGTTTAGGATGGCACTACCCTGCAGCGTAAATTGCCTAGGTATTCAGCAGTCCCTTTCCAAGTCCCCGTGTCAACTTACTAATCCTGATATTGACCAACACTGCCACAGAGTCCTTTTTTTCTCCCTCTACTCCTTTTAAAGTCTGCTGACTGCATTTTTCTCATTGATTTGTCTTATTAGGAACTGGTGAAAGTGGCAAAAGCACCTTTATCAAGCAGATGAGAATCATCCATGGGTCTGGTTACAGCGACGAAGACAGAAAGGGGTTCACGAAGCTGGTTTACCAAAACATATTCACTGCCATGCAAGCCATGATCAGAGCCATGGACACCCTGCGGATACAGTATGTGTGCGAGCAGAATAAGGTAACGTGCTTAAGAGGGCTGGAGCCATTTGTGAATGCCATGCTCTCCTCCTCCAGGTAGCCTCTGTCTCTGAACGGAAAGATGTACTGAGTGCTCTCAGCAGAGGCCAGAAGAAGCTCTTGAGCTCAGACTCTGGGGTAGAGCTCCTCCAGAGGAGTGTGATGAATTTAGGCACAGTCTGATTTCTGCAGAAGCTCTAGCACAGTGGTGTGGTGCTGCCTCGTGTGCAGTCATCTCAGTGCCTTTTTTTGGGGTACTGAGAAAAGGAAGACATATATTTACATTTCCTCTTCCAGCTAAGATACCTCGTTACTTTCTTGCTTTGAGCGATGGTGGTCTTGGGTTTACAGTGGACAACTTTTTGTTTTGTTTTTTTTTTACAATGGACAACTTTTTAAGAATTCCTAGTCTTAGGAAATATTTTCATAAATGTCCTGCAGACTACTCAGAGAAGGCAGTGGGTTTTGTTTGTTTCTTTTGGAAGCTGACCCTTCTTAGGAGCTAACTGATAATTTAGGAAGAGTAATGCTTGTGTCTCGACTAGCAAGGGACTCTCCCAAAGTAATGATATCAAGTTGCCATTTGCTTTCCTCTCTCTGTGGGTTATTTAAAATCCGTATTTGTTTGAGACTATAGGAGAATAATGAGACAGGAAGGTGGGAGAAGGAGACAACAATTTTCTAGGGTATATAAGAATGTAAATCCATGGGAAAATACTATGAGCTCATTAAGAATCGAGATGACAGAATTTCTTTAAAATAATTCGTACCAAGTTATAACAGGACATGATGATAAAGAGAAAAATTCCAAGATGAGTCCCTCGTGAATTGGTTAGGAAGAATTTAGCTGCTTAAAAGCTGGAAGAGTGGCTTAAATATGGACCTCAGGAACTGCTTTATCATAAGCTTGTGGCATTTGTTTTTATGTGTATTATACAGAGTTTCAAAGCAGTAAGTCTAATTTTTTTTTATCACTCAGTGACTGCATTACGTAGGAAAACTCAACATGCACCAAATTTTAGACATACCTTTATACTGTGACTACAGTCTTGTGTCTTTACTACCATTTCCTTGCAGTCTTGAGGAAATGAAGGAAAGTATAATATCTCACCTACAGCTTCAGCCTTCAACAGCGTTATGTTTAAAACTGTGTGTGTGTGCATGTGTGACAGGTGGGGATGGTGGTAGTGGTGGAAACTAACCTTTAGAATATCTGGTGCCAAGTAATATGAGAGGTGGGTCATGAACCATTGGGAAATTCTACAAGTAACTCTGATTCCTTTACAAGTTGGCTTTGAGTATGTGCCTTATATCTTTTTGGGTTTTTTTTTATAAGCATATTTTAATTTTTTGAATTTTCATTATATCTTTTTGAATGTGTGCAATTTTTTTAAAAAATCACCCTGTACAAGCTAGTTTAAAAATTAGGTCATCTGTGGAAATTTAAGATTATTTCAGAGAAGAGATAGGTCAGGAACATCCTTGTGGTGATTTTAGTTAATCTACTTTCCTTCTTGGTAAAAAGGCATTTTGTTTCCCAGTCATAGTGGGGTGACTGGGGAAAGCTTGGAATTTAGGAATGGGTTTGTAAACAGGCCTGTTGGGAAGAGAAGACTCAAGTATGAGTCAGTTCTGCTTACCTTGGCAACATGTGTTTGTTAAAACCCAATCAGATTTAGGAATCAAGGTCTCTGGATTTCTGTTTTGTTTTCCCTCAAGGTCTTCTAGAGGTACTCTGAGTTTGTGTCTCAAATAGAAAGGTTTTACAGGGCTCGACATTCCACCACTTTCTTCTGTTCTCTTGATCTGCATTCTTTTCCATAAGGCCAAGTCCCCTTGCCCACTCATCTGCATTAGTTTCCTCCAGCTGCCATAACAAAGCACCTCAAACTGGGTGGCCCGAGACAGATTTCTTCCTTCCCGGTTCTGGAGGCGCGAAGTCTGAAACCAAGGACCTGGTTCCGGCTGGAGTCTCTGTCCCACGCGGTTGCCTGGTTGTGGGGTTGTTGGCAATCCGCGGCGCCCTTTGGCTTGTGGCCGCCTCCCTTCAGCCCCTCCTCACTCTGTCTCCACGCAGAGTTCTCGCCTGTGTCTCTGTGCTCTCAGGGCATTCCCCGCTGTGTGTCCGTTTCTCCCTCTTCCCACGTGGACAGCAGTCATTGGATTAGAGCCATCCGAATTCAGGGTGACCTCATCATAGCTTGACATATCTACAAAGACTCTATTTCTCAATAAAGTTACTTTCTGAGATTTGGGGTTTGCATGGATTTCAAGGCAACACTATTCAACCTAGTATGGTCCGACCTCTGCCTGCTCCCATGAATGTCATGTCCATTAGCAAAATACTTTAACTCCATTCTAATATCCGCCAAAGATTTAACCCTAAAAACAGCATCAACTCTAAGTCCCAAATCTGATCTAGTATCAGTTCAGAAGGCCTCCAGTCTCATCATTTAAATCCTCTATCTCAGGATGGTGGTTCATCCTAGAGCAGAATTCTCCTTCCACACACCTGTGAAACTAGGAAGTGAATTAATCATACCTTTGTCCCTTCCTCATTTGCTGTCTCTGGCTCCATTCTCAATGCCTTCTTTCTACTTCAAGTACCTACATTCATGCATCATCAACTTCCACTTATCTCTCAAACATATGCCAGGGGTAAACCACATATTGAAATGGCTTAAAGAGATGCTTACCTGGTGGGCTCAGATGGTAAAGAATCCACCTGCAATGCAGGAGACCTGTGTTTGATTCCTGGGTCAGGAAGATTCCCTGGAGAAGGGGAGGGCTATCCACTCCAAACTGTTGCCTGGAGAATCCCATGGACAGAGGAGCCTGGCAGGCTACATAGTCCATGAGGTTGCAGAGTTAGACATGACTGACAAACCAACAAGGAGAGGCAAAATGTTGAGTAGGAAAAAAATCACTGGATTGGTCCTACAAATCCAGGCTCTGTTCATAGCTCCCTTGTAGGTCTCAGATGGGAGTCTATAAACTTTTTCTATAAAGGGCCAGAGAGGAAATATTTTCAGCTTTGAAGGCTACAGTCTCTGCTGCAACTATTCAACTCTGCTGTTTTACAAAACCAGGCATGAGTGATGCATAAAAATGAGTGAGGCTTGCTTATAAACTCTGTTTGCAAAATGTGAAAACTATTCTTAACTCATGGGCCAAACAAAAACAGGCCAGAAGTGGATGGAGTCCATGGACTGGAGTTGCTGACTCAGTCCTAGGGGAAGATATGGAACCTTTTCCATGTGGAAATTTTGATCAATTTCTTCTCTATTATTTTCTGAATGATTGCCTCTGTGGGCTAGTCCTGATCACAAATGTGAAACTATAACCAAGTACTCTTCTTAGGTCATAAAATGATCAAATGATTAATGCTCCAGGGGTTTAAGTAATTACTTAAGGAACATGATCTATTTTCTTTACAAAGTATTGCTTCATTTAAAACAGTTGACTAGTTGAGTATGAACACAACTAATTAGCTTTTCTTTTCAGTCCTTCTCTCACTTCTTGTTGAATATTTATTTCTATTTGATTTTTTCACAGCTAGAAACACTTTCTTAAAAATAAGTAGAGGAGGATTAAGAGCACTTTTAGAGGGTTTTATTTTAAATGTTAGCAGGATTATGGCTCAGCCAGTTTGTTGAAAATCTTTGCTTGTTACTTGACAGGCTGCTTTTGAGAGGAAATTTGTCAGAAATTCAGTGTAGCATTTGGTTTTTAACCAATATGTTTACTCAATTAAGATTTAGCTTTGAAGATTATTTTCTTATACATTGCCTGCCTTTTTTTTCTAAAGAAATGATTCATATGTATTTGCTCACTCTGTTGATAAGCCTTAATTTTTATGAATGTCTCTCGAGTGTCATGAGCACACATTAGAATTTATGACTTCTTGAATAAATATTACAGAGGTGTTTACTCAGTGTTAGGACTCCTAACATTGAATTAGTTTATATCTTATGTTGCCTGGTGATGATTTCATGGGAAAGCTTTTTTTTTTTTTAACACTTTGTAGTGTCTCCCATTTGAGAAATTCTTACTCTAGGCCTGTAGTAGGGTGAAGGAAATCTTATCTCTCCTGCAGAATCTGCTTGGATGATTTAGATAAGTGTTTTCCAAGGGCAAAGGACAGCCCTGCCTGACTTTTCAAAAATGCTTGGTTTCAAGAACAAGGTCTACAGATTCTTTTGGTAGCTGACCCCAGCTTCCTCCCTGCCCTCCCACTTATAGGAGCTCTTCACCACACTGCGGTCACATCATATGTGTATGTAACTTGCTGTTATTCAGTCGATAAGTTATGTCTGACTCTTTGCAACCCCATGGGCAGCACATTGGGCTTCCCTGTCCTTCACCATCTCCTGGAGTTTGCTCAAACTCATGTGCATGGACTCAGTGATATCGTTCAGCCATCTCATCCTCAGTTGCCCCCTTCTTCTGCCTTCAGTCTTTCCCAGCATCAGGGTCTTTACACACATTTAACTGCAAGGGCTCGTCATAAAAACAAAAACAGCGTCTTTAAAAAGGAGGGTTAGTAATTGAACAGTAAGAGGAGTATTTTGCCTGCCATTTGCCTCAAGAACTTAATTTGGAATTCACTGTTTCCAGAAGCTTGAAGTCTGAAATTTCCTTCAAAAGCATCTTTGTCTTCTACCAGAAGCTTGTGCTGAATTCCAAGTCACACTTGAGGCAGGGGACTTGGGCTCTCCAGCCAATCACAGCTCTTGAAAGTCTGAATTTGGTGGGGTTTAATTGATGCTGAAGCTGAAACTCCAGTACTTTGGCCACCTCATGCGAAGAGTTGATTCATTCATTGGAAAAGATGCTGATGCTGGGAGGGATTGGGGGCAGGAGGAGAAGGGGACGACAGAGGATGAGGTGGCTGGATGGCATCACTGACTCGATGGACATGAGTTTGAGTAAACTCCGGGAGTTGGTGATGGACAGGGAGGCCTGGTGTGCTGCGATTCATGGGGTTGCAAAGAGTCAGAC